TGCCTGTAATTCTAGGCTGACATCTGAGGTTCATGGTTCAATGCCAGCCAAGGCAGAAAAGTCTATGAGACTTACCTCCAATTAACTACCACAAGCCAGAAGTGGAGCTTTGGCTCAGGTGGGAGAGTGCTAGCCTTGAGCAACAGTGCTCAGGGACAGCACCCAGGTCCCTGAGTTCTAGGGCAAGACTGGCAAAAAAAAAAAAAAGAGTAGATAGGAATCAACCTTAAATGTTTTGATTCTACCAACCAGGGTAGGCTCTAGGGAAAGTCTTTATTTTGGTTCTTTTAGCCAAGGAAGCATTTACATGATTCTTAGAATCATCAAGGTTGAAGTTGATGGTGACCAGATGCTAAAAATCTCTGAACTGAGCCAGGCACCAGTGGCTCACACTTGTAATCCTAGCTACTCAGGAGACTGAGCTCTGAGGATCGTGGCTCAAAGCCAGCCTGGGCAGGAAAATCCATGAAACTCTTATCTCCAATAAATCACCAGAAAACCTGAAGTGTCCCTGTAGCTTAAATGGTAGAGTGCTAACCTTGAGCTGAAGAGCTGAGAGACAGCGCTCAGGCCCCAGAGTTCAAGTCCCATGACCGACAAAAATAAAAATAAAAAATAAATCTCTGAACTGATTTACTTCAAGGGCATGGGGCAGATAGCAGTAGAATTTAGAGCAGTAGTTTGTGATGTACATGGGCTTAAGCAAGCCCATGGCTCATGCCTGTAATCCTAACTAGTCAGGAGGCTGAGACCTGAGGATCATGGTTTGAAGCCAGCCTGGGCAATAAAGTTCATGAGACTCTTATCTCCAATTAACTACCAGCAAGCCAGAAGTAGAGCTATGGCTTAAGTGGTAGAGTGCTAGCCTTGGGTACAAAAGCTCAGGGACAGCACAGAGGTCCTGAGTTCAAACCCTGGCACACACATACAAAAAGTTTAATCATACCTCCTCACCCCCAGTCTCTCCCCATAGACCCACCTTCCATTATTTCTAGGGGCCTTGTTGGTAAGGTTGAGAAGGGGTGTGGGTAATGGCAGGGCTGCTGCCGAGGGGTAGGGATGTCACATCTCTCTGGATCATTAATCCTCTTCTCCTTCAATGGATACATTCTGCCCCCAGAAGTTATGGGCTTTACAGTGGACATATTCCCCTCTGTTTTTCTCCTTTCATAAATACATGTTGTATCTACAGTGGACAGGAGATGAGGTGGTTCTCCAGGATAAATGCTCATCTGAATTAGCAGGTGTGGTACTGCTAGGGATCTCCTGCTCTGTCTGCAATAGCCTTTTCCATTTGGCAGATGAATTCTGGTTCTATTCTTAGCACAATGCAGAAATCAAATGACTTCGACCCAAAGCTGAATGCATTTAGAAGTTTCCGGAAAATGCTAGGATTGGCACACCCGACCCATCTGGATCTGGTACCTACCACCAGATCCAAAGCCTGTGCAGGCAATCTCTCTGGGGGAGGATCTACCTCAGGAGGAGAACTTGTTCCACTATCTTTAGATTCAAAGTGCTACACCCAATAGTTAATGAGTCACCTTCATTGAATGCTTTGTCAGAGATTTCCTCTTTCAGTTTTTGGAAGGGAATTTGAAGGGCAGAGAGTCCAAATAACCTGTTCTATGAAGCCCAAGTTGGGAACCATCAAGCCTTGGAACCATCTATACCTCACCCATTTCATGGAGAGCATTCTCTGAGATGGACTTAGAAAACTTCGGAGAAAAATCTGTTTCTTCTTCTGAATATGAAGGTGAGGTATCTTGCTCACAGAGGAAAGTGGCAGAAGGTGGCATTTCCATGGAACAATTCCCGTAACATTGTTTATATCTCTCAGGAACCACTCCTTCGCATTAACATCGTTTAGCCACCATGGGCAGACACCTGCCACTAAGCCTTGGTTCCCAAGCTGTATGCCAAGGTACACTAAGTCACAGCAGCAAAATCACATAAACCTAACACGATACCTGAAAATTCCCAGGACAACACATTGGGAACTCTTAGTCCACAGTTTTGACAGTAGCTCTATAGTAGCTCTCCCTTCCATTCCATGATAGCATGCCTTTATGAAGCTGAGGCTTTGACTGCAACTGTGACACAAAGTACGGTGACAAAAGTACCAAATGGAGCAGGACATGAGGGTAGACTTGTCCAATCTGATTCCAAGGTTGGAGACGTGCAGGGCCCACTAGCCTACACATGCCACTAGCAAGCAATTGTGGCTCCTTAAGTGAACTAAATATATATTTTCTTCCAATTTCTGCTAGATTTTGCAATGGTCAGTAAGGTATACAAACGTTTAAGTTGCTTAGATCTCCCTACTTAATATATGGAGGTATGAGGTTTCATTTGGCCTTCAGATTGTGGCAAAGCTGAAGTCAGGCACTGGTGGCTCACTCTTCCAGTTCTAGCTACTCAGAAGGATGAGATCTGAGTTTGAAGCCAGCCTGGGAAGGAAAATCTGTGAGCTATATCTCCAATTAACTATACACACGCACGTGTGTGCGCGTGCACGCACACACACACACACACACACAGAGGAATTTTAGAGCCTTTCCCCTAAGCTTCTGAGCTGACCCCACAGTGCTACCTGAGCCTTCTTGGAGGGTGGGTCTATTATTTCAGCAGGAAAAAGACCAAGAGCTCACAGCTTCTCTACCCATGTCTGAGCTTTGACCTCCAGGTCACCATAAGTCAAAATCCTTCTGCAGCTCCTCTAGGAAGAAGTGATCTCAGAGAGCAGGGCCTGATGGGGGTGAAGCTGGAAGGGTAGGTCTTGCAGTTATATGGAGTCACTATGTTCTTGATAAGGGAGAAAGAGAAGGAATGTTCTTCTAAGAAAATTGCAGAGGTCATTACTGAGGAGGGCTGTGTGTATGCCTGCACACATGTTCATATACACAGGTTTAACAGTCAAGTCTGGAGAACCAGTGGCTGGTGAATAAAGGCAAAATCTTCCTGGAGAGAAATGAAATTGGTCCTTAATATTTAGCATGTCAATTATCAGAAAGGGTGGGTACTGGGAGTTTTCCTTTCTTTCCTTCTTTCCTTCCTTCCTTCCTTCCTTCCTTTCTTCCTTCCTTCCTTCCTTCCTTCCTTCCTTCCTTCCTTCCGGCCTGGGCACTGTCCCTGAGCTCTTTTGTTTGAGGCTAGCGCCTACCACTTTGAGCTACCATGCCACTTCCAGTTTTCTGGTATTTAACTGAAGAAAAATGTCTCATGAACTTTTCTGCCCAGGCTGGCTTCGAACTGTGATCCTCAGATCTCAGCTTTCTGAGTAGCTAGAATTATAGGCGTGAGCCACCGGCACCTGGCTGAGCTTTCCTTCTTGACAGAGTGAAATCACTCAGCATAAATCTTTTGAGAACCTGAGTGGGATTTGTCCACTCCGGAAGACAGTAGAAAGGAACTCTAGTGAAGACAATGAGGCTGTGCTCATGGATTCTTGATCACACTGGGAAAGGAATTCATTTGAGAACACAGAGGAGGCAGTCTTTTAGATCTTGACCACATTGGGGAGGAAATTCAAGTGTGCACTCATGAGGTCCACACTGGGGAGGGAATTCAGATGAACACACATAGGAATAACAGTAGGGGAGGAACTCTGGTGAACACACATAGGGGGATCCATATGGGGAAAGGAAATTAGTGAACACACATGGAGTCATAATGGAGAAGGAACTCAGGTGAGGGAAAAGAGACAGCAGCCATGGAGCCTCGGGAGTGAGGTCTTATGATCTAAAATGCCTTTGGGTGAGACCTAATAAAGAGCAGGTTGGAGAGGATGTGGATTTCATGAATGAGACTCAATCATGAATGAGAACAATAACAACAAAAAGAAAAAAAGATGGAAATTCAGGAAACCTGAAGGGAGCCAGAGAACTGTCACTTCTTCCTTCTTGGCAGCTATACTTCCATCTAGTAGGATCAGTAAAGCTCTCTTGGGTCTCAACTTCTCAGGAACATCTCATCTAAGTGCTGCTCTTGTCTATGTTGGCTAGCTTTGCTCAGGAAAGCTTAGGTTAGGTCCTAAGCTGCTCCTCCAAGTGGCCAGAGGTGGCTAGGGCCAAGGGTACTGTAGCTCTGGATCCCTTCCTGCCCTGGCCCCCCAATTGAGGCTGACATAAACACTGCTACTTAATGTCTTCCTGAAGGGGTCTATTCCCCTCAGACAGGATATGTGATCATTGCTCACTTAGTTAATGACAAAAGAAGCCTCATCCCAGAGGAAAGAAAAAAAATCTTAAAAAGGATTCTATTCTACATTAAAGAAAGAGTCAGGGAAAGCAAAGTTTGAAACTCACTACATCTAAGTGATCCCCAGGGAAGGATGGCTTTCTGTTGACTTTCAGGGATGGCCACAAGTCAAGGATGGCCCGGATGGCTCCAGTCCCTTTACTCATGGAAGAGGCCATACCTGCATCTCATGATTGCAATAGAGGGAGAAGAAATGTTCCCGGTAAAGCAAAGCATCACAGGCCAGTGGAAGAGGCCATGTTTATTTTACTACTGATTTATTCCTGGGGAAATGTAACAACTAAGTGGTCAAAAAGAAAATGAGCTTGGGAAATGAGAGTACGGCAAACACTCATGCTGGTCTTTGGCTTAGAGAGAAAGCCTAACTTCCATTATATCCTGGATCCTAGGGATCGTCATCTATTTGTAAAACCTCTTAGGATGCTAACTGGACTAGACCATTGCATTGGCCAACAACGCAGCCTGATATTTGTGCTTCCATCTGTGAACGGCAGAGTCAGGCCTGCTTAGTTTCCCTGCCAACTGTTAAGGAAGCTGTCTTTTTAACAACAGACATGTAAAGCTAATGGCTCCCTATGAGGCACCAGCAACCCACTGCTGTGCTTGGTAAGATACTGCTGGCATCTAGGCAGGATGACACTGCTCATTATTGCAGGGGACAAAATGGCTCTTGTTATACATTCATAGGAATCAGAAAAAAAGGCATTATTTATGGCCCTTATGTTCCATGCCCTACTTACCAACTTCATCCCTGATGTTTGCAAGTTCGATTGACAGCTCTTTTTCCTTCACAAGGGCACTTTCATTCTGAAAAAACAAAACGGATACCGAGAGTCCCCTGGTTTTACGTTAGGTACGTACTTTCACATGTTTCATTCATGAATCATATTAGGCAATTATCTGTAAGTCTGGCTCTTAAGGAGATACACTGTTTTCATTATAAAAGCATACAAAAAAAAAACCTTGTAAAGTCAAGTTGGACTCTTTCTTTCATATTCATTCAAATGTCAAACTTGCATTATATAATACCTGTGGTTGTGCTTTCTCTATATGGCATTCCCAGCATGCTTCTTTGCATGCCTGTGTCCTATACATTAATATGTTGACAATATGTTACTATATATTGCTAATTCTTACTATGTTTTTTTGAGGACTTTTTTTTTTGTGTGTGTGTACTGGTCCTGGGACTTGAACTCAGGGCCCCCATGCTATCCCTAAGCTTTTGTGCTCAAAGCTAGCACTCTACCACTTGAGCCACAGCTATGATTCTGGCTTTTTTTGATGTTTAATTGGAAATAAGAGTCTCATGCCTAGAAAAGCCTGTCTTTGAAGTACAATCCTCAGATCTCAGCCTCCTGAGTAGCTAGGCATGAGACACTGGAGCCCACCAGCATGTGATTTTTGACCAATTATCCCTTTGAACTCAGGACCTCTCACCTTTACTTGGCTTTTACATTTAAGGCTGAGGCTCTACCACTTGACCCACATCTCTACTTCTGGTTTATTGCTGGTTAATTGGAGATAAGAACCTCGTGGCCATTTCTGGCCAGGATGGCTCCGAACCACTATCCTCAGATCTCAATCTTCTGGGTAGCTAGTATTACAGGTGTGAGCCCCCAGAACCCAGCCAATTTTATTCCTTTAAACCTACCCTTTATTCATATCTAGTTAGCTAACTAATGAATAAGGAAAACTGGAACCAAACAACAGTAATTAAAGTTACCAAACTCTTGCATGACTAGCATCAATAGCAGAAACAGGAAACAGAAACAGGGCAATGAATACATTTGCAGCTCAACAACTGCTTAGTTGTTTTCAAGTCAAATACATTCTGTGAGGTAACAAAAGTAGATACAAATGGGCCACCTTTGTTTGTTATGATTTTATTGATTAGCATTGTGATTATGTAATGTTAACAATGGTAAGAGATGGTGCTTGAGGCTGTCATTCAATCAGATGTACTATCAGGCAAACTAATTTCCAGGGAGAGAGTTTTGGCCAAAATGTAAACCAAATATATAATGAAAAGTACCTTCAGGACCTTGAAAATGTTGTTCTAGTTTGCCTGTTCAATGTCCTCTATGAGTACACCTGTTAAAGGCCCTAGGGTAGACTATGGGATGGGCTATGGAGTCTTTAAGAGGCAAAGCCTATCAGGAGTTCTTTGAGGAGGATTAGGGGACCCTGACCCTTCTTCTTTATTGTTTGCTTCCTAGTCATGAAGTCAACAGTTTGTTCTACAATGTGTTTCCCACTACTGCTCTCCAGGACACATACTTGAGAGGCCCAAAGCAATGGGTCCACCTAACCTTGGACTAGAACTTCTAAAACTGTGAACCAAAACAACAAACTTTGTTTCTTTTTAAGTTAATCATATCAGCTATTTCATCACAATGCCAGAAAGTTGGCTATTACACAGTCTTTTTTCTTTTAGCAGGGAGGTTTAAACTCAAGACTCTGTGCTGACTAGGCAGGTTCTCTACCATTTGAGCCATGCCTCCAGACTATATTTTGCTTTCATTATTTGTTTTCAAATAGGATCACACATTTTTTGACCATGATCCTCTTATTTATATTTTCTGTAGAGCTGAGATGACAAGTGCAGGTCACCCTGACTGACTTGTTCATTGAGATGTGACCTCACTAACTGTTTCCCTGGCTGGTATTGAACGTTAGTCCTCCTGATCTTCAGTTTCTTCATGGCTGAGGTTACAGACATACATAGTTCTTTACCAATCACCTTTGCCATTGGTTCATCATCTCTGATGAACCTGTGTTCAATGGGCCTACAGGCAATTCTCACAATTTGGTTTCTGGGTCTGGGGCACTTAGACTCAGATAACAGGGGTATTATTTTGTGTTCCTAGGAGAGTCTAGAACTCTCTAAAAGGCCTAATTAATCATGTTAAAAAAGTGATAATTAATAATGTCAAAAATAAAACTATTATAAATAGATCTGTTATACTCACAGGTACTAACCATTATTAGCTAATGATTTTCTTAAAAGTGTGGCAATGGAACAATTTTTGAGGGGAAATGGATGTGATGTGAATGTTGTGCTATATATTGAAACTCTAATTCTCAAGGCAGTGCTGTTAGGAGTCAGGGCCTATGGGAATTGATGAGGTCATGAATGGGATTAGGTCATGAATGGGATTAGTGCCCTTATAAAAAGAGGCCCAGAGAACAGCCCTGTCCTTTCCGCACTTGAGGACAGACAGACACTGTCTATGAGAAAGCAGGCCCTTACCAAACACCAAATCTGTTGGAGCCTCGATCTTAGACTACCAGTCCTCCGAAACTGTGTGACATGACTTTCTACTGTTTATACAGTGCCCAGCTGATGGCATTTTGTTACAGCAATGTGCATAGACTACCCTCATCTTATCCATAAACCTCCTCCTTCCATCTACCCCATAACATTCCTGCTTTCCCTGAATTTAAGGCTAGCAAAAACCTGAGAGAGGACATTTTCTTCAGGTCCATTAAACCAGGCCACCTCCATGTAATGGCTGCCGACAGCGTTGTTATAAAGTTTAAATAAGTTAGCCTATAAAATGCATACATGTGTTTTGATATCAGCCTTATGCTCTGGTATGTATGTATGTATTTATGTATGATATATGATGTGTTCTGGGGATGGAACCCAGGGGTGTGAACATGCTAGACAAATGCTCAGTCACTGAGCTGCACACCTAGCCTCTGATATCTGGTTTTTTTCAGCACCTTACTATCAAGTCTGTAAGTTTGTATATGTATGCATGCATGTACAATGCTGGGGATAGAATGAATGATTTTTATATGCTAAACATGCGTTGAGTCATATCCCTAGGCTCCTACTCTAAATTCTGACACAGTTAAAGAATTTGGGCCAAGTGCCAGTGGTTTATGTCTATAATCCTAGCTACTCAGGAGGCTGAAGTCTGAGGATTGCAGTTGAAAGCCAGCCCCAGACAGGAAAGTCTGTGAGATTCTTATTTCCAGTAAAGTACCACCACCACTACCACCACCAACAACAAAAACTATAAGTGGAGCTATGGCTCAAGTGATAGAGTACCAGCCTTAAGTGAAAAAGTTATAGGATAGCGCCCAAACTCTGAGTTCAAGCACCAACACACACACACACACACACACACACACACACACACACACACACACACACACACACACTTCAGAAGGGGGAAGGGGACAAAGCAAATATCTAATCAGATGGATTATAGAGCTTATGAACTTGTTCTACCAGTAGTAATATGGGCAGCTGATAACCAACTTGTTATACAAGTTAATAAAATGTAGTGTTTTGGAGAAGGGTCATCTTAAATTACTGCAAAAAATGAACTTGCCTTCTACTTCCAGGCTAATTTTGAATATTCACATTCTTTGATGTTGATATTGAATATTAACATCTTCTAACACAGCTAGAGAACTGAAAACCTGCACTTATCAGTCTAAGAATAGCACCCATATGTGTTGTTCTCAGAGTGATACATTGGTAAGATTCAGGCCGTGAATCAGAACTTAACACTAACAACAAGCCAACTGTAGTCTCAAACCTACAGCCTAAGTCTTTCTCAACTCTATAGTGGCACATGTTGGTGGTAGCAGTATTCTGCCCAGGGTTCTCCCATACAATGAACCCTACTGAACTTCGTAGGCCCAGAAGAATCAGACATTTGGGAAACAGTGTCTGGGAAGCCTGAGATGGGGAAGGCCTCCATTGGATACTGGGCTGATGATGAAGGACATAGGCAGGTAAAGATTTTAGACAGACAAAATTTATTTGACAATGAAAGAAAGACATCAAAAGGGATTTCCCATAGAAAGTTGCCCCAGACTTGAGAGTTCTAGTAGAACAGTTTTTATGATACAATGGTTCCTCTCATATCTCCTCCCTGGGCTTTGCACTGATTACTTTGCACTGGTGGCCTGTGCATGTGCTGTTCTGGGAATTTTCATTGGTTGAGGGGGAACCTAGGGCATGATGGGCCACATGTTGTCAGCCATGTGTCATGTCTATCATTTTCTATCCCTATCTATCTAACTGAGGAGGCCTAACTCTCCCTCATTCCCTCCTCCTTGGAGGATAGCACTCCTAACTTCCATAAAGGAATGAGGGCAATGACTGCTCTAGCTGCTTCCTGTGGAGAGTGGGCAGAGTCAGACCCTTTACTTTGGAGAACCGTGAAAGCCAACACTTTAGAAAGAAACACCAAGAAGATGGAGGGCAAAAGAAGAAGAGAATAAGAGAAAACAACAAGAGAAGAAAGGAGAGGGATGAGAACAAGAAGCAAGGGGATATGACAGTGAAATCAAAGTAAGACCCTATAAAGTTTCCCAGTTGGGTAAGCAGGTGACATTGCAAGAGATCAAGGAGACCGAGAGTCTAGAGTTACCTCAGCAGTTCGATCCCTAGTATCACACATACCAAAATAGTAAATACATAAAGATGGAACTCTCTTTGTTATGCTCAGGCTATACAACCACCCTGTTTCCAACTTGAGTCATTCAATGGCTCAGCAAGGATGGATAGGTGGCCAAAGATAAGCCTGAAATGACAAGGAAGGTGACCAGGGTTGGGAATGCAGCTAAGTGGGACAGCACTGGTTTTAGGATGCACAAAACCCTGAGTTCATCACCAGAACTGTGAGGTTGGGATAAGGGGGTGAAGAGAAAAATAACAAAAGTCTGGTAAGTTCTGACTTACCAGAACTTAATAATCTTCTTTTCTAATAATAAATATTTATATATCTTATTTATTAATAGCTAATATTAAGTAGTAGTGAATAAAGATTATTGGTGCTGTTACC